CACGGACATCTGCACAGGGCCGTCCTGGCAACTCTGCAGATGAAGGCTCACCCACGCGGCTCCCGCTCCCTCCGGGGCTCAAACGGCTGCTTTGAAATCTTCCTGCAGATCCTTATCTAGGGCAAATCCTGCTTCTCCACCCTGTCTGGACTAGAGATCGGCTGGGCCTGAGGCTGTGAGGAAACAGCAGGTTCCTCCTTTTCTCACTTCTTTACCACCTTCGTTAAAGCTTTGAGTTCCAGGGACAGCAGCCTTGTCACCCCACTCCGTTTTGGAACCTGGGCCACATGGACACCCCGAGTGTGTCCCGCCCCACCAGGAACGCTGTTTGCTCTGCTGGTGTGAATGTCTCTATACGTAAGTGCCCTCAGATGCTCAGGGTACTGAGTGTGGTTATTGTGGTGTGGACTCTGTTGTCACGAGGCAGAATTTGGGCCTGGAGACCTACTTACAAACACTTGGCACTGATTTACATACCAGCCCCTGACAAGTCACTCCTGGGGAGCACATGGTTATTGTGGTGTGGATTGTGTTTTCACGAGGCAGAATTTGGGCCTGGAGACCTACTTACATACACTTGGCACTGATTTACATACCAGCCCCTGACAAGTCACTCCAAATACTTGTCTACGAATTCAGCTATATTGTGCAGCCAACCACTGTTGTAGCCAGATCTGCTATTAAGGGCTTCACACACATGAAGTACTGAGTAGATGTGTCAAAAACGTAATCGTGATAATAATAAATTAGGGCTTCCCTGGTGGCGCTGTGGTTAAGAATCCGCCTCAGGGGACACGGGTTCGAGCCCTGGTCCGGGAAGACCCCACATGCCGCGGAGCAACTAAGCCCATGCGCCACAACTACTGAGCCTGCGCTCTCAAGCCCACGAGCCACAACTACCGAGCCCGAGTGCCACAGCTACTGAAGCCCGCGTGCCTAGAGCCCGTGCTCTGCAACAAGAGAAGCCACCGCAATGAGAAGCCTGCAGACCGCAATGAAGACCCAACACACCCAAAAATAAATAAATAACTTTAAATAAAATAATCAGCTCAGGCAGCTCACAAATACAGCTGCCAGTAGCTGCTCCTTAGCCCTGGTTCCTTGTGCTGGAGCAACGTCTCAGTCAACATTCTCTAGGGAAACTGTGCCTTTCTAACCCACCGCAGGAAAACAAAGAAGGAAAAGAAACTACCATTTCTTTACTGTCTTTCATCTGGTAGGCACTGTCCTAGTGCCGCGGTTATTTCCCATTTCTTTCTATTACTTAATGTGAAATCTGCATAGTTTGTGTAGTTGGTTGGAGAAGAGAACACACAGGAAAGATCACGTGGATCGTGAAGCCTGCCCGTAGGGCTTGCAGTACACAGTCTGCACCACTGCACCGCAGCTCTTCGCTGACCTGAAACCACAGATACTACCAAACCCTATATATATGTTATGATTTTTTTCCTATACCTACACACCTATGATAAAGTTTAATGTATAAGTTAGGCATGGTAAGAGATTAACAGCAATAACCAAGAATAAAATAGAACAATTATGACAGTATACTGTAGAAATGTTGTGTGGATGTGGTCTCTCTCTCAACGTATCTTATGGTACTGTACTCACCCTTCTTGTGTCTGGGTGACGAGATGAAGGGAGGTGAACGGCGTAGGCATTGTGACATAGCGTTAGGCTACTGCTGACCTTCTGACCATATGTCAGGAGGAGGTTCATCTGCTTCCGGTGATCCTGGACTCTCAGCCGTGATGACATGGACGGTTGGGTGCCAGGAGCAGACGATGTCCATGGCGGGGGAACCCAGGCGGAACAGAGCCGGACAGGAGAGATTTCATCACATTACCCAGAATGGTGCCCAGTTTAAAACATGAATTTTTTTATTCCTGGAATTTTTCACTTCATATTTTTGGACCGTGGTTGGCCATGGGTAACTGAAACTGCTGAAAGCAAAACCACAGCTAAGGCGGGGGCGGGGGGGGGGACTACTGTACCATTTTCCAATAAAAAGAGTCAGGGTTTCTTGGAGAAAAGGCTAATTCTGGCACTGAGGTGGAAGATACAAGATGAGCCTGGAGCAGCTTAATAATGCCAGAAACTAAGAAACTGCTTTTTTTAAAAAAGTATGGAAATGTCATAAAAAAGCTGACCTGGAAGAGCTCCCAATGGCTCAAACTGGAACAATGTGAGCCAGCATTGGATTATTACCCAGAGGGCGCAGTCGTCACCGGATACAATAATGACCGTAGGCGAGATTTGGTCCTGAATGCAAACATTCCGAGGGAAACTTAAAGGAGACACAGTATATTGGCCTCAGATATTTCCTCCAAATATTTATTAGTAAATTTTTATCTTATTTTCTTTAAAAGACCTATGAGTATTCAAAGCAAAAATTATAACATTGTATCGTGGGGTTTATAACGTGCAGATGTAAGATGTATGTCAACAGTAGCACAAAGGATACAGAGAGGTAAATGGAACTGCTCTGCGGAGAGGTTTTTATAATGTCCACGTATGAAAATAGTACACTATTAGTTCTAAGTGGATTGTAATATGTGAAAAATGCATATTGTAACCCCTGGAACGACCACTAAAACAATGCAAAGAGGTGTCGCTTTAATGCTAGTAAAGGAATTAAATGGAATACAAAAAGTATTTGTACAAGCATGCTCATAGACCCTTGGGCCATAGTAGCCCAAACCAGCAAGTAACCCAAATATCCATACATAGAAAAATGTATCAACAAACTGTGATATGTTTACACAGGAGAATACAACTCAGAACTTAAAGGAGCAAACTACAGGGGCACACACTGTGGATGAATCTCATAAACACACTGCTGAGTGAGACAAGCTGGCCGTGACACATTATTGTAGGATGACAGGCAAAATGAACCCGTGGTGATTGTAGGATGGCAGGCAAAATGAACCCATGGGGAAAAAAAATCACAAGAGCGTTTGCTTGTGGGGGGAGAAAAAAATTGCCTGGGAAGGAACTTGAGGGAATTTTCTGGAGGTGATGAAAATATTCTGTTCTTGAAAGGGGTGACGTATACATGGGTGCATTTATTTCTCACAGTTAATGTCTGTGCCTTTCAATGTATGTACCTCTTACCTCATGAAAAAGAAAAACAATTGAAAAAAAAGTGAAGGGTGGGTAGTAGCTTGAGGTATTGATGAAAGAGAAATGGCAGATAATTAGGAGTCACTGAAGCTGGGTGACAGGTCTCTTATAGCATCTTGCTATTCTGTAAATGCTTAAAATTTTCTGTAACTGCTTTTATCAAAAACGGAAATTGGTCTACGGTGTTAGCCGGTGAGGTGTTGGTTTCTTCGTGGAGGAGGGAGGGAGAAGTGATGGCGGGGTGTGTCGGGGAGGCCGGAGCAAAGCTAATGTTGCTTTTGGCCACACAAGCGTGTCCACTCTGTAATGATCCATCGAGGTGCCCGTGGATGCTTCCTGCATACATCTCTGTATGCATGTTACATGCCAATAAAATTTAAATGCTGCATATTTACACAAAAATCCTAACTCAGTATCTCAGAATAACAGCAGGGTTTTGTCTTGTTTTGAAGCGGGACACGTTCACTGATGGTCCCATCAGATGGATTTTAATATTCCAAAGTATTCATGTCCTAACCCTCAGATGACCCCTTAGAGTCTTCCAGGTTTTGCCTCCATTTGGTAGGTGGCGTGATTTTTATTTTTTATGATGCGATACTTTTTCCAGAGCAGCTCACCAGGACCGCGACTCTTAGCACAGCACCCCGTGCACAGTGGGCACTCAGAACCTGCAGAACTGGGTTGAATCAGGAATAAAACTAGTGGAAGGGATGCCGAGGGTGGTAAGTAGGCTGTGCAGGTGAGGCTGAAAGACCACGACCCAGCAGTGAATGCTTTTACTTGATGAACCATTTGGAACAAGTTCACCCAAAGATGTGGGTTTAAAGCGATGGTCTTCAGCCTTGACCAGACCCCGTAATCACCTGGAGAGCCATAAAAAATACCAATGCCTGGGACTCACTCTAGGGATTCTGAGTTAATTGGTCTGTTGCACTCGGGTTTAAGGAATTTTAAAAGCCCCCCAGGTGATGGTCCTGTGCAGCCAGGGGTGAGAACCACTGACTCAGGGCTGTCGATGCATTAGCTGCAAGTGATTTCCGCGTGTGCTTCGGGGTCTCCGAAAACAGCTTTGCGCTGTTAAAAGCAAAGGGCTACTTCTTACTCAGCAGCAGGAGGAAATGTCTTCTTAGCAGATCTGTTTCTGTGTCACTTGCTTTCAGAGTCAGAGGTGGTTTTAGACACAGTAGTTTGATTTAGTCTGTGTTGAAAATAATAAATAGCCTACAAGTACCAAAAAAAGATGAGAAGAATTTGCCAACATGTGGAATGCATTATGTATTTGTCAAATTTCTCCTGTGATTAGTAATGAAAATGATATTGCTGGGGCCTGATTTCCTCAACTCAGCCCTTGGCCATTTCCCCAAGTTATTCCAAGTCTTTCCAAGACACTTCACCACTCTCTCAAGGGGATTATTCCCAAAGGTGAAGAGTACTAGACACTGAAATCTCTGCACAGTCTGTTCCTACTGCAGAAGTGTCCACCTACAGAACCTCGAATGACTAGGGAGGCTGCATCAGTAGTGGGTCCAGTGGCAGTGGGTGGGCTCTGAAGACAGGTGGACTTGATTCCCAGTCTCAGCCCAGACACTCAGTAGCTGTGAGGCTTTGGACAAGTTACTGGGCTTGGAACAGCTATATAAACCTCATTTTCGAGAAGAGGCATCCTTATACTGAGTGCACAAATGGCAGTGATTCTTCATCCCTCCCTGTATCCAAGCCCTTTGAAATGTGATTTTACAGCTGCTCCCACTGAGAGGTAGAATCTGTTCCTCCAAACTTTGCATCAGGGCTGGCCAGTAGAATGCAGTGGGCATGCCAGTGGGCCAGCTTGGGACCTCGGCTTAAAAGGTCTTAGATGCTTCTGCTTTTTCTTTCAGAACCCTGCCGTCTCCATGACAACAAGCCCATGTTAGCCTGCTGGATGATGAGATACTTCAGGGAGTAGAACCAAGGTGCCCAGTCAACAGCCAGCTCCTCACCAGCAGCAGAGCCCCCTAATCAACCTGCAGCTGACCACACGTGCATGAAGGAGCCCAGCTGAGACCAGAAGAATTGTCTAGCTGAGCCCAGCCTGAGCTAGGTGAGTATTGGGGTGGCTTGTTATGCAGCAGTAGCTAACTAATACATACGCCCACTGCAGACAGGATGCCAGGGTTCAATGATATGTTCATCACAAGTGACTTGGCAAACAGTAGGCACCCAATAGGGGCTGGTTTCCCTTTCCCCTTGTTTAAAGTTGGATCTCTTGAGTTATACAGAAATTCTTGTCATCATGTATGCTTGTGATTGGTTCTTAAATGCACTCAGTGCCCCACCTGACAGGAGGAAAGAGGCAACCAGAGTCTGACCACTAGGGCCCAAGGCCAGACTGCAAAATAAGAAGTTTGTCTTTAATCTGTTCCCTCCAAATCTAAACTCTGGAGGTCAAGGTTGTGGACAGATTTGAAGACATTGGGCTCCACCCTCTGGGGGCCCCATCTTCCTTCCTTTGCTGTCTGATCTCTGGAAAGGGGGAATGGGCCCACACCAAGAAGCAGCTGGGACGCAGTGGTTGAGCTTCGGAAGCTTTCTGCTTGCACCCCTCTGCTCCCTCCCTGGACTTGACACCGTCTCTCCCCACCCTGGGTCTGAGGAGAGATGTTGGTAGTGCTTTCAGCTCTAGAAACCAGAAAAGCTGACACAATGGTATGAACAAGCAAGGGCAGATGAGGCCGCAGAGGTTGGCAGGGGCCAGGTTAACTAAACTTTTATTCAACTGCAAGGAGAAGCCAGTGACAGGGTTTAAGTGGGGGCGGGGTTTGCATATATCATGTTGTTGACATTTTCCAGAGATCAGTCTGGATGCTGAGTGGAGGATGGACTGTAGGAGGACGAGACAGCTGGGAGGCTGTGACTGGCAGTGGACTAGAAAGAGAGGAAGGTTACTGGCAGTGGTTGTAGGGTGGAGACAGTGGGGAGGGGCTGCAGAGCCATTTCAGTGAAGCATCGTGGAGAAAAGCTGGAATGAAACGGGTTCAGTAGAGAATGTGAGGAGAAGCAGCTCTAATGGAGCAGAGAAACAGCGGCAACGCAGAGCGACCTGTGGTCAAAGGAGGTCTGCTTGTTTAATGCACAACACGAAGGCATGTTTGTCCGCTGACAGAAACCACCCAGTGGGGAGGGAGGGAGGGAGGAATGTGATCGGCAAGGGACATTACACACGCAGAACTCTGGGGAGGGAGGCAGAAAGGACTCCTCAGCCCCAAACTGACTTGAAGTTGCAGCTTTCATCTTTGAAATAAATAGGATTTTGGCCTTCTATTTCATAACACAGGACACCCCGCAGATCATATCCTCGTCACGCTTCCCTGTAAGAACACCTCTGAGTTCTCAACACTCAAAATGCACAGCAGCTACTTATCTCGCCATACATTTTCCAGCTGAAGTTCATACGTATAGAATTTACACCAAGCCTTCAAAACTTAATACAATATTTTGGGCTTCCCTGGTGGCGCAGTGGTTGAGAGTCCGCCTGCCGATGCAGGGGACACGGGTTCGTGCCCTGGTCCGGGAAGATCCCACATGCTGCTCCGCGGCATGTGGG